AGACTATTATGTGGAACGATAATAAGATTTAATTTCACATAGTTCCACAGGGTAGATCTAAGACCAATTAGTGGAAATTATAAGGAGGCAAATTTCAGCCGAATAGAAGAACTTAAATTTTTAAAAATCTTGAATTTAACAAAACCTTGCCAAGAACATTTTCATCTCTAATTATCTACTATATCTCCTGTTCTCTACAATTTCTCAGATTACAGATAGTAAGCAGGTCAGTAAATTGTATTTGCATCTTCCTTCAGTACTCTGGGATGTAATTCATCTGGACCTTTAGGCTTGAACTCATTTGAAGGAGTTAAATTCACTCTTGTTATCTTCTTAGCTGTCGGTGGCCTTTAATTCCAAACCTTCTCACACCCCCAATCAAATTTGTTTGCCCTTTCCACTTTAAGGTAAGGATTATTTTCCTTAAGGAGACAGAAACAAAATAGGAGTTAAATAGTTCTGCTTTCTCTAGGACATGTGAACATCGCACTAGGTACCTCAAGTAGTGGGTTTATTCCTTCCTCTTCTTCTTCCAAACAAACCTTTAAATGCCTTTTTATTGTCATTAGCATTTTTAAAATCTCCCTTTTTTTTTTTCAAATTTAGAATTTTCATTTCAACAATATTATTACTACAAGTGCTGTCTTTTATACATAACCATTTGAAATCTGAGGTCAGAGATCCTTGAGTTTCTCCACACACACACACTTTTCTTCTGCATTACTATAATTTTTTTTAAATTTTAAGAATTGTACATCCCTTTCAAGCAAGTTTCCTTTTTAAAGGTTCTGATCATGCGTATCTAAACTTTTAAAAATCAATTCTAGGGTACATGCCTGGGGGTTCCTTCTTTGGCTATAAAATACACATTTACATTCAGAATTAGAGGACACTTCAGGGGACACCTAGGCCATCACATACCAGTATAAGAATTCTTTCTAACACAACCCCCTACAGGTGACCTCAACCTTCACTTAAAAACCTACTCTGGTGAGGAGGAACTCACTACCACTGAAGTCTCTAATTGTGAGGAGATTTTTCTCCTGTTGAGCTAAAAAATATTTCTTTGCAACTTCCATCTTTTTTCTTAGGTTTGCCCTCTGAAGTGACTCACCCAGGGTCACACAGCTAGTAAGTGTCATATTTGAACTCAGGAAGATGAGTCTTCCTGATTCCCAGCCTGGTGCTCTATCTGCTAAACCACCTACCTGCCCATTGTATTCCAGGTTCTAGTGACAGAAATATAAAGAATGAAATAATCTTCACCCCTAAGGAGTTTACAGACAGTGATCATGTTGCCCCTAAATCTTATTTGTCCCTAGCTAAACATCCATTGTTCCTTCAAGCCACGTCACAGGGCTGCCTGAGATCACTTTAGCTTTTTTTGACGTGTCACACTATTAATTCATGTTGAGGTTACAGTGAAATAAAACCTGCAGGTCACTTTCACATAAACTATTTTCTAACTCTACTTCCCTTTGTGAAGTAGATTTTAAAAAAAATTCAGCTTGATAGATATCTCCATTAAATTTCATCTTTAGATTCTCTCTACTTTTTTGTTAAATTGAGATCCTTATTGAATTTGGACTCTTGTCACTCAGCATGTTTTTTATCCCTTCCAACTCTCGGGGGTTTGGGGTGTAAGTGAGAGAGAGAAAATGAGAATGAGTCCGTGAAGTACATATTATGTGCCAGGTGCTGTGCTAAGAGCTGGGGATAAAAATACAAACAAGATTAGTCAGTCATTACCCTCAAAACTTTACATTCTGATAAGGGAAGACCACATGGATATAGGAGCTTTGACTTTGTTATCTTCTTCTGGTTGTATATTTTGATTTTCTTTGTTACTAAAGAAAAATTCTGTGGTCTGACTTTTTTTGGACCTTTCTTTGTTCATGATCCCAGCCAATTACTTGAGTTTTAAACTCTTTGTTAAGGTAGGGGTCTGCTTCCAGTGTGGAGAATGTACTGTCCCAAGCTTCAGAGGTTTTGTGCAGCTGTATTCAGAGATACTTCTAGAGACCTGTAAATTTTCATTTCTTCTAAGGTGGTATGATAAGGGGTGAGGTGTTTACTTCTTTCCTGGCCTGTGCTCTGGTCTGTGAGTGACCATGAGCACTCTTTTCTGGGAAGACCACATGGAAAAAAGTGCTGAGAAAGGAGGGAGCGTACCCTCTTGGGAGCATGATGAAGAGACTGTAGGAAGTTGTGTGGCGGCTTAATCTTCCCACAAGATAAGACAAAAAAGCTCACATATCAGAGCACAGGGAATAGGTATAGAGTCCAAGTTTCTGCTGAGGTAGAGATGGTCAGAAAGTTGAGCCACGGTGAGGAGAAATTTACATCAGCTGTAAATTTGACAAGCATTCCTTTCTATGCCCTCAACCAAGTCATGTGCTAAAACTGTTAAATACCAGTGGACCAAGAGGAAATCCTTGGATTCTAAAGAATGTCCTCAAAGTTTACGTGGAATAATTATGATTGCTTTTTAGCTCCAGACACAGTTAAATTACTACCAGCAGCACCACCTAAGTGGTACACTGGATAGCGGGCTGGGCTTGGAGTCAGGAAGAGTGGCCCAACTTCTAATCCTTCCTCAGACATTTCCTAGCTCTGTGACCCCGTATTGGACGTGGTAGCTCCAAGGTTCCTTCCAGCTCTAAATCGACAATCCTACAATAATCTATCCCTTCTACAAAACTATCAGGAGAATGTGTAATGTTTTGTTGAAACCTAGGTATATAGTTCTAGCTATAGCATTCTTCCAATCTGCAAGCTTAGTAATGACGTCAGAAAAAGAAATGAGATTATTGTAGCATGACTTGTTTTAGTGATCACTACTTTTCCATTCTAAATACTCATAAACTGTCCCTTTTTATCATTGATTTTCTGTGTAATCCAGAAATTAAAGTCAAGCTTGCTGGCCAATAGTTTTCAAACTCCACCCTTTTCCCTTTTTGAAAATCAGGACATCAGGCTTACAACACCTCTCTCTTTCTTTCAGTCTTTTATAAGTCAAGTCACCAGTTGGGCTTAGCAGTCACAGAAGCCAGGTTTTTGCCTTTAGGATATAGTTCATCTGGCCCTGTGTCTTGAACTCAGGTTTCAGTTCTCTATTAATTATTTTTGTTCTGTATATCCGCATCTCCTTGTCAGAGAAAACAAAAATGTACTGAGAGTTGAAGAGTAATTCCTTGTCTCTCTCATTTGTTTTCTTTGCCCCGTCTACCCCAGGTACATAGTATGAGCTCTCTCTCACATACAAATGTCCCTTTGTTGGTCTTTGGGGTTCATTGTCAACCTCTAGTTGTTCCTGATGCTCTTTTCTCTCTTTTTGCTTCTGTCTTCTACAAATCTCCGTTTAAAATCTGGATTGATTGATTTGCCTTTCCTTTGCTTCTACATGGATCTCTTTAGACATATCCATCTTCTTTTCTTTCTTATTGGGATCATGTTAGTTTCTTGAGAATTTTATTAGAAATTCATGTCTGTATGCTCACTTCTTTAAAATTATACAGACTACATGAGATGGGTAGTAGCACAAATATTAACCTTATTTTATAAATGAAGAAATTGGGTCACACAGTCAGCAACCAAGAATCAGATCTAGCATCAAAGCCAGGTGCAGGCTGGCCCTCTCTCCTCCTGTACCACAATGCCTCCATGTTTGCTGTTTGACATGTGCCTTACACTCACCAAACAATATCATTTCTTTTTTCTCTCTTTTTATCCTGTCCCAAGTATTCTCTTCAGGGCTTTTATGAATCCTTATGCAAGTGTATCTTTTTAGACAAAACCTACGCTATCCTCCCACATCTTCTTTAAAAACCATTTCTTTTGAGCAAGTCATACACTTCCATTTTATTAGTTGTATTATTTATTCTCTGCTACTAAATGTCATTTCCATTATTACCTATACTTTGTATATTGGTACATAGACAAATGAAGCCAATTTCTATCACTAATATTTCTTCCTTTGAAAACTATGAGTTTTAATTGAACATTTTTTTCTTCTCAATTTTCAGTTTAAAGCTCCCCTGACTAGGTCAGCGAGTCTTCATATTAAGAAATCCAAATTCATTTCTCTGGTTAAAGTTATTGGTCAAGTCACTTACCTCTCATTTCAAGCAAACAGGATTAATCCTTATTGTTGCAAAAATTATGTTTTTCTTTGGGGAGGAGGGGGAGTAGAAGGTAAAGAAAATAAATTTTTGTTAGTTGAATAAAATTAAATAGGTTTTTGTTAGTTGAAAAAATTAAATGATGGAAAAATACTGGCACGGTCTACTTGGATTCTTTGGTACTACAAAAATATAGGGCCTGTGTTGGAGCTAAATTTTTTCAGTAGGAACAATACATATCCAGTAAGAAAGATGGTGACAGTGAATAGAATGAGGTTCAAAGGAACTAACATCTGTGGGGCTCATCATCATAAGATGCACAGCCATGACCTTCCAATTAACAGGGATTCATCATCTTACATTAGAGTTTGGTTATATATTAATAATGTTATTGAGACAGCATTGGTCAGGGCAGCATTACATGATATATACCGACATTATTTTTTCCTAATTTACGTCAAGGGAATTTTAAATGTTAATTTAATTAGTGTTTTAAGTATTTGAGATCCTTCAGGGAGTGGTTTAAGTTAAATTTTTATCACTAATTTGAAATCCCTAATTACAAGATATATCTAAGTTTTTCACTATCAAAAGAAACTAATTTAATCATTCTGCTTCCCTTCTGACAAACCAAAGTGGTACCTCTGACAAAATGATCATATATGTAGAGGAATTGTATAGTTCAAAGTGTGGAAAGGCCAGGGATCCTTTTCATGTTCTGTAGGCTGTCTTATTACCAATTCTTCCTTTCAGTGGCCTTTACTGTGTGCCAACTCTTTACTGACACTAGAACTTGTTCGTGGAAAACAAAATTGAAACGACTGTATTTTTAGAGAGTATCTCCAATGTATGTGTTCACTCGTTTCATTTTCTAAACAGATTGAATATGAGAAGAAAAAGAAAGAAGACGGGAAGCGAGCTCGAGCGGATAAGCAGCAGGTTTTGGACATGTTGTTTTCAGCTTTTGAAAAACACCAGTATTACAACATTAAGGACTTAGTGGACATCACCAAGCAGCCTGTGGTACGTGTATTTTCCCATTGATCTTGTTCCTGGGACCTGTTCCGAAACATTGTCAAGCATTGAAGTATGGCACAGGGGAGAGAGAGCACTGGAACTGGAGGCAGGAAGACCTGAAATCAAATCTAGCCTCAGACACATCCTAGATGCGGGACCCCAAACAAGTCACTTAATCTCTTCTGAGCATCAGTTTCATCTGTAAAATGGGAATAATAAGAACTCTTACTTTTCAGGGTTGTAAACTACTTTCCAGACTTTAAATCACTAGCTATTTGGTATTATTTGCATGTGGACAAGTAATAATAATAGCTAACATTTATATAGCACTTGTTATGTGCCACGCACTATGCTAAGCATTTTACAAATAATAATTGTTAGAGAACATGGCATCTTTGGGATGTTATCAGATAATCTCATTCATATCTGTTCTTACATTTAATACTCAGAGAAATTTGCTACCATACAAATGTAAAGGAATTCATCTAATGCTTGGAGAGCAATCCAGTTGTCATTTTATAGATGAAATCAATAACATTTCTAAAACCCCAATATATTTAATATCAGCAATTCCTCATAAATGATTGATGTTTTTCTCTCCTATCTTTACACTAGTGAGCACCCTAAATTAGCAAAGCAACCGAAAAATTAACCCTGTTTAACTTGTGATAAAGTCCTTCATTGTCAGTATCTGTTCATCACAGGCTTTCCTCTCCCAGTTGCTCTCTTCCACAGCCTTTCTCCTCCAAAACAAAACGTGCCTCACCTTGCTACTTGAGTAGTGTTTTTAGAGCTGTGGTTACATTATTTAAAAGGCACAGAGCTCCTACATTTTCTCTAAAGTACAAGACTGTAGCTCTTTTTTGTAACCAATGCTGCATGGATTTGCATTTACATTCAAGGTGATTCCCTAACCACGGAAAGAATTGCTTTGTATGTGCTTTTTATTTCCTGTGATTTTAGCTAGTTATTTCAGCATTTCAATTTCCTGAATAATGAATTTCTCCACTATATAACAGAAAATTTAAATTCTGAAAGTTTTTTATGGGAACATTTAATGAGATAACTAAAATTCCTATAGTTTTTTTTTATTTAAATTTAAATTTCCACGTAACTTATTTGTGAAATTGTTGTGGGGTTTTGTTCCTAAGCTTTTTCAGAGCTGTCTCTAGAGCTGTGGTGGTAGCATCTCACTTGCCTAGAAGGCTCACAATTGTGACACATGAGTACTTGCAGTAACAGCTTATGTTTATGTAGTGCTTTACAATTTATGAAGGGTTTTACGTACACTATTTCATTTGATCATCACATCCACCTTACATGTAGGTCACGAAGGTGCGATGGGTATTGCCCTCATTTGTAAGATGAGGAAAACAAAACTTATTAAAGTTGATTGAGCTCAAGAAGGACTTTGAAATCATATCCTATTCAGATTCTTATTGAAGGAACGAAGTATTTTAGTTTGGAAAAGAGAAGTCAAAATGGAGGACAGCAACATCTGGAAAGGAACGTGGAAAACTGTCTTTAATTATTTGAAGGATTGTCACATGGAAGGATTAGATTTCTTCAGCTTGGACAGAGGTAGGATCCGTGTGTAGAAATTCAAGAGGAAGCAATTTGGACTGCTGTGAAGAAAAACTTCCTAATAATTAGGGCTCCCCAAAAAAATGGAATGAATGACCTCAGGAGGAATGGTAGGCTTTCTGTCAATTTATCAAGTTGAGAAACTCGGCATATTTAGCCTGGAAAAGAGAAGTGGAGCGTGACAGCTGCCCTCAGGTGTTTGATGGGCACTCGTAGAAAGGAGGGGCTAATAACCTTGTACTGTTCAGCCAATAAATGGCAGGTACAAAGAGACAAAGACAGGCTAGATATCAGAAAAACTTACTGAAAAGTTGTCAGAAGGGAGAATGACTGCCTGGAGAGATGGTGGATTCCACCTCACTAGAGGTCTTTAGTTAGAGACGGGACAAGATGACAGTTGTCAAGTAGATTAACAGATAGCCCTCAAGATTCTTTCCAACTCTGATTCTGTGATTGACCTCCTTCCCTAGAAGTCTCCAAGCAAAGGCCGGAGGAACACTTGTTGGGCATGTTGTAGAGAGAATTTTTGTTGGGTACAGGTTGGACTGGATGGCCTTGAAGCCCCTTCCAACTCTGATGAATCTCCTGTGATAAAGCACTTCTATGACTTGCCCAAGATCAGATAGCATCTAGTGCCAAAGTCAGGCGTTACGCCAACTCCAATGATTAAAAGTCTAGTGTTCTTTTCGCCTTACCACGTTGCCCTTAAATAAGTGAGTTCCAGAATGATCCTAAATATCTCTTGTTTTAAATACAAAGAAAAGAGAAAACCACTCACTGCAGTAATGCCAAGCACCTTGATAGCTGCAGTCCTTTCCCCATCAAAGTCTTAAGGAATCCACAGCCAATTAAGCTGACCAACCCAATTCTTTCTGTGTGGGGCTGGTGTGCAGTGGTTGCAGACAGAATTTCCCCGGTTGTGTGTGTACCTTGTCCTTAATACAGGGTATTCTAAGGGACCTTGGAGACACTTTTGAAAAAAAGTCTTAAGGAAGCATTTCTTAAATGAGCAAGAGAATTTAAAATAGAATGACTGATTAGAAGATCCTTTTTTCTTATAGGATACTGAATCTTTGTAGTAAGATAGAAAGTCTACTTCAAAAGCTGTGCATTTGATGGGGACAGCTAGGTGGCACAGTAGATAGAGCATTGGCCCTGGAGTAAGGAGGACCTGAGTTCAAATCTGGCCTTAGACACTTACTAGCTGTGTGACCCTGGGCAAGTCACTTAACCCCAGTTGCCTCATCCCCCCCCCCCCCAAAAAAAGCTATGCATTTGGACAAAAAAAGTTCTCATGGAATGTTTAAAAAAAAATTACTAAAGAATGAGCAGTGAGACCTTCAGGCAGTGTTACACATAGCAGCTTTTCCATAGAAAAGGAACTTCCAACATTTCTTTCAATTCTCTCTGTTTAGATGAGGAATTCTTGATCGTTTTTTGTGTCATGGAGCCCATTAGCTGTCTAGTCTAGTGAAGCCCGTGGACCCCTTCTCAAAATAACGTTTCAAATGTGTAAAATAAACTGTACAGAATTACAAAAAAACATCATTTATATTGACCTAGAATTATCAAAATATTTTTAAAAAACAAATTTCTATACTCTAGGTTAAGAACCCTTACAATGTAGTAGTGGTGCCTGAATTGCTCATCCTCAAGAAGCAATGCTTTTTATAAACACTTAGTTATTTTTTTGGGTCACAGTTTCCCCAAGCTGGACATTATGGGCATACGGAGAATGTTGGCTCTGGCACTGCTAACAGTGGTGTCCCAGGAAAGTGGGGAACAATCTACCTGAAAGTCAGAGAGAAGTTGTTCATCTGTGTCCTTTCTCATCCTTCCATCTTTGCCTTACTATTCTGCTTCTTTTTTTTTTCCTCCTCTTCCATTTTCCTCGTTTCTTCATCCCTCACCCTGTAAAGCCTTGTCTTCATCTGCTACATTTTTCTCACTTATTCCCCCTTATTCATCCCTTTCCTGTCTGAGCTAGAGAGCCATATGGTTGCCTTCATTTGAGAAAGCCAACTGTATCAGCACTTCCTTCTAAACATGAAGTGATTTCCCCCTTGATAGAGTCCAAAGGATGCTGACCATCAGCCACTTCCTGAAAAAATAAATCCCAACATTTATAGGAGATAGGGGCCTAGCTTGTGATTCCAGTGGTACAGGGAACCCTCTAGAAATGCTGGTCATCACTTTTCTGTAGATAAGAGTCTTAGATAATTATCTAGAACTTTGAGATGTTGGATTACTTGTTCAGGGTCCCCCAGCTAGTATGCATCAGAGGTTAGGGGAGAGATTTCAACCCAAGCCTGTTTCTGAGGCTATCTTTCTAACCACTAAATCATAGCATTTGTACAGCTGGATTTAACACATTATTAGAGATCTTGCCCTCTTTGGAATCAGTAGACAGGAGAAAGTTTGAAGTCTAGAGTAGACTGCAAGATTGATCATTCATCCATAATCTAATCCTACAGAGCCACTTACTTTACAAATTATTGAGGTAAATCCTACAGGAAAAGTAAAATATTGGTCCCATTGTGGAAAGCTTTGCATTAGATTACAACAGGTTGCATTTTCTGACATCCTGAACATGCATCTCCATGCCTCCTATGTTATTTCTACCTCTGGTAATGTTTCACACTAAAAGGTGTATGATATCAACATTTCATTTTTTTTATTAACTGTATTCTTGGATTGCCATCAGCTTTTCAGTTTCACTATTTCAAATATCCTTTTTGGTTCTGAAAGGCTTATTTGAGAAACCATCACCAGAGCCAGCTTCACGTAAGATCTCTTTCCCTTGGGTGGAGATATATATGACTTAATTGTTATGCAGAGGGTACTGAGTGTGTTATTCAGGAGCTAATAAACCAGTTAGCACATGACTAGAGTCCAGTGTTCCATGTGCAACAAAAACTTTTTAAAGAGTCTTAAAAAAAAAAGTCTTCTAATTCACAAATCTTATAAAAGTGAATGTTGAAAATTATCTTCACATGTAATTGGAAAAAAATTAAGTATTATTAAGTGGGGGAAAAAAAAACAAGTAAAAGAGCCTTTTTTTAATTCTTAACTTTAGGTTCTCTTACACAGACAGGATGCTAGTGAAGCCATATTTATCCCTTGGCATCATTTCAACTTTGATCTTCAGCCTTGAACTTATTTCTTTTCTTTCCTTACTTTTTTTTGTATCTACAAAGTAGAAAAATATACAGCATATCCTCAGGGAATCTAAATCATGTGGAGAGATGGCTAGTTGCTCCTTTTTAAATAATGACTAGGCAAGCCCATTTTAAGCCCCTCTCCCTCCCCACCAAAAAGAAAAATTCTACCACACGGCTGTTTCATTTGCCACTGTTCCTTCAACCACCCATTTCAAGGATAAATCATTAATGGTGTCACTGAAAAACACCCCCGGCTGCATC